ACCATGTAAAAATGGGGGCTGTCCATTCTTTTCTGTTTCATTTAGCCAACTAAGAATAATTTAGATGATCAATTTTGATGGGAAGTAGATTACAAATTTTTATACTGGATAGCTATTAATCAGCGAGACCTTAAATTTATTTAATAAAAGAAGTTCATAGGGGTTTAACTCAGCAAGATTTCAGAGGATAAATCATTGAGTTTGATGACTGAAATGAGGGATAGAAAAAGAAATGAATCCCAAGTGGCAGCCCCACAGGGAGCCCACAGGCAGGACTGTTCCTTTAAGCAGTCATTCACACCTCCAGGGCTCTAGGGCAAGCTCTCCTCAAAGACCCCCCAAAATGCTGTCCTCCAATAGATGCTGGTTCAAAACAAATATGGAAAAAGCCTGAAGATGCCTGAGCCACACACACAAACGCACGTATTCACGCAGCTCCATCACCTCTCACCTCCAGAGTCTAATATGTCTTGAAACCTAAAACTGACTTGAAGGGGACAAGAGGAGCTCACATCTCTTAGGAATTTAATGGTCTGTGGCCCAGACAGCCCTTGGAAAACAGCAGGACAGAAACCAGACGGGTCACCGAGTGTCAGAGTCTGATCAGCTGGGAGGAAGTGAGGAGCACTGAGGAGGGACGTCTGCCCACAGCAACGGAGACGAGCTGGAGCAGGGCTGATTAGCAAGCTCTCCATCACCGGGGTGTGGAGGGAAGGGACAGGGCCACTAACATTTAGTCAAGAAAAAGAAGGAAGGAAGGACAGCAAAAGTGGGATGGGGGAGGGAGACACAACCTAAGTCTGTTCTTCACCTTTTCAGAAATTCATTGCTGACCCGAGACACCAGCCAAAGTTCTAAGAAACCAGGATAAAGTCAGTGTGAGGAAAATCGCAGCCCTGGAGAGGCCAAGGAGAACCGAGAGGGCCTGGTCAGCTGTGGCAAGGAATGGTCACGGGAGAGGTGGGCGCCGGCAGGCCTGGTCCCAGCGCAGAGCTGCTGCTCCCAGCCCCCCAGCTGCCTCCTGAGCCTGGATGCGGGGACGGGACAAGCGCGAGCAGCCTCTGAGGTCTCTGCCTCGTCCCCACCACATGACCAAGGACCTCCAGCCACGCAGAGCGGAGCCCAGCCAGAGAGAACCCCCTTCTCCTGGGTCTTTTCTCCTTTCTGGCTGTACCACCAAGGAAACGAATGGAGATGCACAGCGAGACACTCACCACAGGAGTCTGTTCCCATGAGTTTGTCTCGGCAGAGTCCTGGCAGAGGCTGGGCCCTCACAGGCTGCCCGAACTGAAATGCCACTGCCATGTGCAGAAACCAACTCCAAAGGCAGTTCAGAGAGAAAAGGGATTGTCCATGGAGCGCAGCCCAGGAAGCAGCTAGGCTCCGCCGCCCGCCCGCGCCCTCCTCAGCAGTTTTCTGAGCTTGCTTGTTGGGGCAAATCCTAAGGCTGCGAGCTGCCCTGGGAGCACAATGGGTTACGTAACTCCAGGCAGCCTGGGCACCCTATCAGCTCATCGCGTTAAACTGCCCCAAACAGAAAATGACACTCCCAAAAATGTGATATCCCTAGAATGGGGGAGCAGGCCTTTGTGATGGGCACTTGGGTTGGCCATAAAATTATAGAGGAACAAGAAGTCTGTTCATCTTGGGCTCAAGGGGAGCTGGGGATGGAGAACTGATCAGAAGCTGGAGGACAGGTGGTCTCCCAGGACTGCAACTGGCCAAGCCCTTGGGACCCACACACACATTCTTGGGGATACTCCTGATCTCTGCAAGAATGTTTTCATTCAATGCCTTCCTCTCAGTGACCACCTGATGTGACGTTCAGCAGTTGGTGCTCTGAATGACTTGGTGGCCCAGCACCTTACACATGTAACAGAGCCTATCTTTACAGCCCTGTTTACCAAGTCACTGCCAAGGACAGTACCAAGCTCTGCTTCTCAGCTGTCTGCTCCATCAGTGTCTGCTACAGATGTCCTGGCAAAGAACCTCCAGTCACCCCGTCCTATAGGGTTTGATGATTCAGCACTGCATTCTGCCATTTCTTTGCCCCTGGTTGTCACGTTCAGAGAAAGTGGAACTATTTTAACGAGCTGGATGTTTCCTGGACTTGCTGGCACAGACACCACACTAGATCCCAGGAGCTAATTCACATGTATGGACAAGTGAAGAGGCATCTGGGATGATGCCTCTTCCATGAAAGCCTCCTGGTCCTCCCTGTCTTTTCCCCTCCAAGGCTCAGTGAGGCACTCTCCCTGGTGTGCCCCCGCATGCCCCTGATTAACTACCGTGCACAGCCAATTTCTACTTGCTCATCCGTCTCCCAACTGGATTGCATTCCTGGGTGACAGAGAACATGTGCCCTGGGGTCAGGATTAGATGCAAGTCCTGCCCATCAGAGCTAAGGACCCTAGGTAGGATGCTGAAGCTTTTGTGATTTAGTTTCTTTACTTGTAAAAGGTAATAAGCAGCACCCACTTCATGGGGTGCAGTAATAACTAAACAACACAATTTATTCTCCCAGCTAATGTCTGCTAAACACTGGCCACATGCAGGTGCCATTTCAGTCACTGGGTGTGCTAAGTCCTCTTTCCGGGGGAGTATATCTTCTATCCCGAGATTGGCAGACAAAATACAAATGCATAGTAATTCATGGCTGGGGAGGAGTTCTGTCTGGGGAGAGAGATAAAGCAGGAAAGCGAGATGGCAAAGATAGGTGGGGAGATGGGTCACTCTTATGTAGGGCGGCCACAGAGGACTCTAATGAAATGCTACTTGGAGAAAGTGAGGAGAGAATCAGGAGAACATCTGGGGTTAAGGCGAGCCACGATGGAGGCAGCAGAACGCCGTGAGGAGAGATGTTCCTGTTCTGTCCAGGATTAGCGGGGAGGCCAGGTTGCCTGCAGCAGTGTGGATGGAGAGGGGACAGGTTGAAGGCAGGTATGGGAAGCCACTTAGGCCCTTCATAGGTCAGCTGGATGGGAGCCCACCAGAGGGTTGGAGCAGAAGTGAAACCACTGACTTGGTATTTAAAATCCGCTCTCATGGCTGGCTGAGGACTGGACTGCACAGGGCTAAGTGTGGAAGCAGGAGGCCTGATGCGAGGGCCGCTGCAACATTCCAGACCTGAAATGAAGGCTCTAGGATGGGGGCGAGGGGGAGGGCTACAGAGCTGAGTTGCAGCTGAGCTCTGGACAAACTCTGAAGAGAAAGCCACCAGACTTCTAAGCAAACTAGGGTGTGAAAGAAACATAGAGGTCAGGGAGGCTGCTAGGCTTTTGATCTGGGCAATGGGAAGTTCAGAAGTTCCATTTACAAAGATTGGGAGGACCACAGAGATGCAGTGCAGTTGGAAGACAGGAGCTCGTTTTTGGCCACCTGAGGCTGAGGTGCCTGTGAGGCATCCAAGTGCAAACGTATGTGGAGCTAGGCTGACACAGCCTGCCTTAGGGGAAGCAAGTCTGCAGACAGGAGGTGGACAGTGGTCAGCACTGAAGCAGATTTTAAATCCCAGGGCTGGGTTGAGGTCACTTAGGATGTGAGTGTGCATGAAGAGCAAAGGGCTGAGCCCCAGGGTTCCTCAATACCCCCAGGCTTGGGAGGCACAGAGGAGCAGCCAGCAAGGTAGGAGCACCAGGAGAGCCAGCACCAAAGCCAAGGGGCAGAGAACCTCCAGGGGAAGGGAGGACAGCAGGGTCAATGCCTGCTGAAAAGGCAAGCCAGACCAAGGCTGAGGCCGCACCCCTGGATTGAACAGGGCCTTCAGCACTGGGGGACATGGGGGTCAAAGCCCACACCTGTTGGGTGCAGGAGAAGGGAAAGTGAAGTCAGCAAACATTGGAGCAGAGTCACAGGGCACTGCCTGTGCAGAAAGCAGAGCCCAGAAGGGTTCCTTTTAAGAAGGGAGAGACTGTAGCATGCTTTTGTGCTGACAGGAAAGATCCAGGAGCAAAGGAGGGACAGACAATGTAGCAGGGAGGAAGGATGTGGGAAGTGTGTCCTCCAGGAGCACACAAGCAGGGTGGATATTGCACAAGTGGAGAGACGGTCACTGGGCTGGGGGGTGGGGGCCGGTAGCTGGGGGCTCAGCATAGGGCCTGGACACCCACACTGGGGACAGGCCCCTCTGTGCCCCATCGTACTCAGGAAACCTCTAACACACCAGAGGTCCTGAATGCTTAAATGGGAGACAGAATGATGAAAAGCTACTGGATGCAAATTTGCATATTTTAAAATGTCACTGGGCATTATTTCAAAGAGGCAAACAATGCAGACTAAGTGAGAACTAGGGCAAACTTCGGCCCGAATGAGCTGGATTTAACTATAATTATGCTCTTCGTTGCTATTACACACACCACCTGACACCACCTCCACTCAGAGCCCTCCAAGCCCTTGTCTCAGTGTTCCCTTGGGAAACAACAGGAGCTGGAGCAGGCGTTCCTGAGCAGTGGGTATCTTGGGAGGACCGGAGGCCATCGCCCTGGGACACTGGGAAGGTACGTCTGACTCAGGCATCTGTAAGAAGTGATGTCTGCAAACTGTGACAGCGCTCGGAGGGTGGGGGGCCTACATGCAGCTTCCCACAGCGCCACTGTGTGTTACTGTCATTATACCTGCCTGACGCATGAAGAAAGCCTCAGTAGAGGGGCAGGGGGCTAAACCACACGGAGCGTCACCACTGCTACGGGTCAGGCATGCTGCCTGGGGGTTCAACCTCTTCAACCTCCACAGTTCTTTGAGGTGCTGTCTTCATCTCAGACAGGTCAGTGAGTGACACATGTCACAGAATTATTCACTGGCAGAGCCATTTCTGGGTGGCAGGTCTCACTATCCCAAAGCTCAGACTCTTGGCATTTTGCTGTTAAACTCCCAGGCCACCCCTGGAGAGCTGCTCTCTGAGGCCCACTCCTGTGGCCACACCAGTCTCCAGTCCTTCTGACTTATGTCCCCTCCCTCCCACCATTCCTCCACCCGTCCCTGGCAGTGGAAGGTCCACGTACCGGTGATGGTGCAGGCATCCCGGTACCCTCTGTAGCTGGGAGCATCTTCCACAGCCTCGCTTATGTAGAGCTCCTCAGGGAGGCCCCGGCTGCAGGCTAGGACTGCATGGTTGCTCGCCTCCGAAGGGGGCACGGAGTTGGCCGAAGTGTCGTCGTGCAGAGCTGTGGCGTCCAGCTTGGCAGGTTTCACGGGGAGGTGCCCACTGCCATCGGGGGCCCCGCTGCCGGAGTTTGGGGCAGTCGGGTAGACGGTCCCCGTTAGGTCTGGCACACCAGCAGGGGCTCCTTAGAGGGAATCTACAGGGCAATCCAGAGAGAGGAGAAGTTACTCAGAGTGTGTGAATCAAGTGGACGAAATCCTGAGAAAACATGGGTGCGAAGAGGATGTGAATTCAGACTGCAAGTCTGCCAAGTGTTTCCTTCGGGCCACAGTCTTTCCAAACTCCTCAATAAAAGAGAGGCAGTGAGGTTCATTCAACCATCAGGTATCAACACAGACCAATATGGAGTGCGTGGTTCTGTCTACTTACTGCAGCCAGAAGCACATGAAGAAACTGGACCACAGTATTGTGAAATGATGACACCTGACCTGACACAGGGCTATCTGGGCCCCTGCCTGCCACACCACGTGCAAGAAGAGCTACTTGTGCAGGCTGCGGAAGACCCCCGGCAGAGCACTTCTATGGGATTTACATGCATTTCATTTGTATACCAAATTATGCAAGATGCGATGTTTTCTATTAAACCCCTTCAACAGGTGGTCACATTCTTAACTCTTAGGAAATTTTAAGACATGCCCCTACCTAAGACAGCAGGAAGAAGTTAGGGGACTCCTTGAAGAATAGGGTGGAAACTACAGACCTCATTCTAAAAGTCATATGCCCAGTATCAGGAGACTCTGCCCATCCTCAGGCAGCAGGTCAAGCCCAGTATGCTAAATGAAGTGAGCCAGTCAACCGAAAGGTGAATGCTTTATGACGCTACTTATATGAAGCAGTTAGGACAGTGAATGCAGAGAGACAGAAAGCAGATGGGTGGTTGCCAGGGGCTGATGGGATGGGAGTTGTTTCCTCCCAGTTCTGCAGCTGCAAAGGGATTGGTGCAACCGTGTGAGTGTATTTAACATGATGAGGTAGACACTTAAAAATGGTTAAGATGGCCAATTTTCATGTTGTGTTTTTCTTCCCAATTTGAGAAAAAAAAAAAAAATTACTACTGTGACCAAAAAAAAAAAAAAAAAAGTCATGTAATGAGAATTAGACTTCACACATCATGAGGCATGAGGAGTATGGGTACGAATACGCACAGCTCTACGTCGTTGTTTGAACTGGGGTTGGAGATGAGAGAATAAGTTGGAGTAGTTCTGCTCTGCTTAGGAAGACTTTGCCAGTTGCTGCATGTAAAAAGTGTACTGTGGACTTCAAAAAGCTGCTGAGCGTGTGTCCTGTTGAGGCTTGTGTGAGCCTTTGTGATCGTCTCCAAAATGTGGTTTTTTAGAAAAGATCTCATGCTTGCTTGAATTGTCTGTTTTATAGCAGTATATTTCTGGACCGAGTGCATGGGCACTCTAGACTGGAGCAAAGGAGAGACAGAAGCGGTGATTTAGGCAACTCCCTCATTTTATGGGCACTGAAGCAGAAGCCGTGTGATGCAAGCTCAAAGTCCTCCCTGAGAATCGCTTGTTTCAGGCCTTTTGTTTGACATATTGACTTGAATGGAATTTTCTTACGCGTTTAGAACAACAATGACAATGTGCAAAGGGGGGAAATCATTGCAAATTTCTGTGAGAGGATCAAATAGAATGCACCTATTCACATTAAAGGAGGTCTGAGTGAGGGCTCAACCTGGTCTTGGATGTGAAGACCTTTTACCATCAATATGTGTCACCTACTATCTGTCTAGGGAATCTCTCCATGTTGACATCTTCATACCTGCTCTGCAACTTCCTTCTCACAGCTGCACTGATGACCTCACCTTAACTATTGCAGTTAAGCTGTTCTTAGCATTTCACTGTGATAAACCTCCCTGGCCCTTGTAATCTCTGGCCACAGGGCACACACATCTGGTCAGGCTGTCCTGAATTGATCCTCCTTATCTCCCACCCATGTAATGCATAAGATCCTGTTTCCTAGAACTCTTGCCAAATTGAGCACGGTGAGAATTTTTAAGTCTTTCTCTGGTAAGAAAATGTTTGGCTCACTATTAAGGTTCCTTGAAAAGTTTGGTGTGTGTTTATAGAATTCTTTTTTTGGGAAGGGAAGGAAGTTTTTATATCCTTTCCGTTTTTCTTTTGAACTGATTACTTTAGGTTTGGAAATCATGTGCACTGTTGAGACATTATTGATTTCATTGCCATTTTTGCTTCGGCTTGTCTTCCTCACCTTTGAGCTCTTTATACGGCTGTTCATCAGTGGTGCCTGAGGGGTGTCCTAGGCAATGGGGGTCTTTAAATTTTTAAATACGTGACAATGTCTTTGCATAAGAGTAGCTTAACTGGGTCACCTCTGGAGGTCTTCAACCCCTCAGGTCCCTGCTATTCAGTGTGTTTTGGGAATTCTGCCTGAGGGTTCCAGGCTTGTTCTTGTTAGGCCATATTCATTAGTCTGTATTTGAATCACTGACTAGATGCTACATCCAGTTTAATCTCTGGGTACCTTTCATTTCACCAGGCATAGATAGGTTCCCCTTCCCCACAGCCAGTATATATTTATTTGTCTGTTTTAATGAGAGCAGAAATTTTATCACCCAGGCTGAGTTTATTCATAATGCGAATGAACTCTTGTTGAGAAAAATGTCATAGACTCCCAGCTAAAGTTTTCTTTCAGAATCAACTATTTGTCCCATGTTAGGGAAAATGTCTGTTAAATTTTCCTTGCTTTGGTTTTCTATCTTTCTTTTTTTTTTTTTTTTAATGAACTGTAAAGTATCATTTTCTAGAGCAGTAGTTCTCAAACTTTCTGGTTCCCAGAACCCATTTAAGTTACTGAGGACCACAAGGAGCTTTTGTTCTTATGACTTATATTTATTCATATATATTATATTAGGAATCAAAATAAACCACAAGGATACAGCAGCATGCATTCCATTAACCAGCCTTAGAGCAAGAGCATCATCACCCATTGGAGAAAGAGAGCAAAAGTGTCTTTGAAAATATCAATAGTTTTGACCTCGTGGACCCTTTAAACCAGTCTCAGGGAACCCCAGGGGTCCTCAGACCAAACTGTGAGAACTGTAGTACTAAAGACTATTTCTCAAGTTTCTGGCTTTGTTCATTAAGCTAGGAGAAGTAACCCCTAAATGTCCTTAAGTTTGCATAATGTGAACACTACTGTGTAACGCACAACCGTAACCATACTACTACCTTTGGGAACTGTGGGTGTTCAAACACTGTGCCCAGCACTTTGGAAGTTCCACTTAATACCACCCGCTGCCACGACCTCCCTCTAAGCTGGGTAATGTTACAAATCCCATAAAACAGTTGAGGACAGGAGGTTCAGAGAGGATGGGTAACTTTCCAAAGGTCACAGAGGTAACAAAAGAGCGAACTGAGAGGTGAAGTGGCAGCAAGAACAGTTCTTGGCCCCTGGTTGCTTGCCCTGTGTCTTGTCTGCCCTTCACTCTCATGTACACAGGCATTGGGGAAGCTTCACACGGGGTTCAGGAGCAAAGCCACTGCAGCCTGGATGCTCTCTGGCTCCAGCAAACCCGGGCACACCAAGCAAAAGGCTTCTTTCAGGCAGAAGAAAGAAATGAGGCCTAAGCAAAGTGAGAGCGGATGGCCTGGGAGATGAAAGCGCCTCTGTTTCCTTTACTGGATTCTGCTTGGGGAGCCTGCAGGAAGACGGAGGGATTTTTCTTAGCAGAGGAGTGAGAAATTCTGCAACCTGGTCAAATTTTCAGTGAAAGAGTTGCCAGGAAAAGAAGAGGGAGAAAGTACACACGGGGGCGGGCTTTGCATTTGAGCTGAGAGATTATTACTTCTGCTGGTGCCTGAGGCACTTGGCCCAGATCCCCTGCCTCTCTCTTCTCAGCCCTGTGGTCACCCACTCCAGCCCCCAAGTTGTCAAAAGACTGTGTGACAGGCGGCTCCCCCTTACTCCAGTTTGTTGCTGAATTCAACTTTGCTGACAAAGCACATGTGTCCTATTCCTAAGCCTTTCTCCCAGACTAGCAGGTGGTTTTTGTGGCTTGGTACCTCGGAGACCTCGGAGTCTCAGCCGTCTCCTCTGAACAAAGAAGGGACTGAGTGAGCATCAACAAGTCACCTTTCAGTGAGGTTGCACCAGAAAGGGCAAAATCAGGCAGGTGGGCTTCTGGGTCCTCATCAGTCGCTCCTCGACGCCCCCAGAATATTAGCATGAACCTTTCCCTCCCACCTGTGGGTGACTACTGGCAGGAGAACTGGCAGAGCTGCCCTTTGAGAACACATGTAACTCTCTCCTAGGGGCTCACAGAGGTGGTCAGGCAGAAGCCAGAACAGAGCTCCAGGTTTGAGGTCAGACAGGTGATAAGAAGAAGACAGACCTGGGTGAAGCCCTCCCTGGCCAGCACCTAAGCTTTCGAGATTTCCTTTTCTGACCAGAGGCGTGCAACGTATCTGGGATTTGTGACTTGTCACAGTTGAGTAATTCTAAACAACAGGTTTATGTACAGCAGAAGTTCTCAAGAAGGAACAAATTGTCCACCAGGATTCTATCCGTGCTCTACTGCTGCGAGGCTGAATGTGTCATGAATTCAGTGGCTTGAAATAACTCAATTCACAGTCCCAGGGTTAACAACGCGATGGGGTGTCCCGGGCTCTGGGGACGAGCACCTGTAGCCAAGCTTTTCAGGTTGTTGGTCCAATTCAGTTCCTAATGGTTATTGGATTGAGAGCTCCATTTTCCTGATGGCTGTGATTGGAAGGAGGTCTTTGTTCCTAAAGGTGGCCCCTGTTTATTCTTTCCATGAGCTCCTAGAATTTCTCTCTGGTCATAGCCCGTGGCTCCCATATCACAAACCCAGCAACAGCATGTTAAATTTTCACCCTTGGAATCTCTCTATCTTTCCCTTCGGCCACATCTTTTTAGCCTCCTCTTTGATCATTTTGTTTTAAAGGGTTCCTTTAGTGTAATCCTAAGATTACACTAAGATAGCCCAGGATAATCTCTCTATCTTAAAGTCCTGTGATCAACCAGCTTAATTCCATCTGCAAAGTCCCTTCTCAGAAGTACCTAGGTTAGTACATGATTAACCAGGAGATGGGAATCTTGAGGGGACAACT